ACTATGCAAGCATCCATTGCAGAAGAAGATGAAATTCTGGTCATTTGTTGGATAAAACCATTTGAGTCAGCAGATACCATTTCTCCAGCTTTGCTAGTGTTGTGGCTGGTACAAGAGAAGTGCTAGTGCCCCTGTAGGACTGTCACATTGAAACCAGATACCAAAGGAACCACAAAGAGATTTAATTCTTTACACGTCTTTATCCAGAGAGGAGGGTATTGGGGAGTCTACACAAAAGTGTCAGAATTTAGAAACCAAAGGTTAACACAACTCTCTTGAACCTGGGGGATAAAAGAAATCAAATAGAACCAAAGAAACCATAGTTTTTGAAACTAAACTACTGCCAGTTTTAAAGGTGGAACGGCATAGGAATCCCTCCCATTGGCTAAACCCTTCCACAATCCCTGATCTCCAGTAATTTTAGGTATCCTCTCAGATATAACTCTCTGTTATGGATTGACTAGAGAGATGCTTCAGGGGACCCAGCCCCACCTGTCATTCTTCAAAGGTTGCTTGATTCTTTCTCGCCACAAACATTTTCTTGACAAGTGAGATAGTTGCAGCATGGTGTGGTAACCTGATTTATATACTAGTTGCAATGTGAATTCAAAGAAAAGAATGAACAACCATGCTGGGGTGTAGAGACGGCAAGCAGTAGTCAAGAGCTCAGCTTACTTGGCTGTTCGAACTCCCCATCCATTCAGCTGAAGAAAGATGTGGTAGTCTGCTTCTGTGAATGAAACCTTGGAAACACTATAGACTTTGTCCTACAGTGTCGCTAAGAGAATTGACTCAGTGGGTTACTTAGGGTTGCTAAGTTTTAGGGAAAGGGGTATTATTGATGTGTTCAAGATCAAATACAAGGTAGGCATTCTTTCTGGGAAGGAAGTAAAAGGCTGGCATGCAAATAGTAGTTTGAAGTAGAGACACTTTCCCAGGACCCTTGACTTTCTTTGTTGTTGGGATCTGTTTGTAGCAGGATCTGTGCAACACCCTCACCAGTGGCAGTAGAACTGTCCCAGGAGACTAGCTGCCACAAAGCAATTAGCACAGGTTCTGATTCTTTACAAAGGAGAAATTGGGACACTGGACTGGCTCAAATTTTTTATTAAAGTTTATTTCCAAAATGTATCTCAACTGGGTGTAGTGTCAAGTAGTTTCAGATTGTGAGCAGCCATGGACAAGGAAGAAGCCTCAAATAGGCTCACCCACACCCCAACTCACTTACAGATTTCAACCCCAACAAGAGACCAAGAGGGAACCAGATGATTCAATTAGATAGAGTAAGAGGATAATTTTATGGAGGGAACCAAATGGGTTTAAAGCCAAGGGGGGCTAAAAAGGCATATACCTCACTATATCTGAGAGACGAGTGTCCTGAAAGTCCTCTGTTGGAGGTGGCTCAGCTGGCCACAGTGATCTTGGCAAGCAGCTCTCAGCTCTGAATTAACCTGTCAACTAAATTGAAAGGGAGAAAAGGCAGAAGGGCCAGGACACAAACATAACCATCCCCGCCCCCTGTCCAATCCCTGACGTCAGGCTTGGCGTGAGAGGTATTAATCACGCCAGCCTGGTGTGCAGTAGAGGACAGCTCTCTTTCCAGCCCTTCCAACCCAGGCTCTGGGAGCGTTCTACCAGCCGTGCACCTGTTTCTGGCCACAAACCCTCAACTCCCAGACAGGCACGGATGCAGGCTGTCACTGACGACACTCAAAGCCACTGCACTCTTTGGGACCTAGACTGGTTGGGAGGAGGGGCGGGAAGTGGCAAAACGTGGGATCCATGCTTTCCTCACAGGTGTGAATTTCTTTAACCTCGGCAATGTCCCTCCTCAGGACCTTCCTCCCTCCCCTAAGATGGTCATTTCCTGGAGATTTAATGAGAATATAAAATTCATGGCCCAAAGCGCTCTTTGGACCCGGTCATTAATTCCCCCAGGAAATACCCCCGTGGTCTTTAATCGAAATTGCCTAAATTATAGGCTAGGGATGCATGTCCACACAGGGCTGGGGGGTGGGGCAGGCGGATGTCGTCCCGTCTGGTTCCGGTAGATGGCGCCTACCTTCATGTAAATAAATCACTCAAATAATTTGTTTTCCATTTCTCCGCAGCAAAACCCAGGGAGCATTAAAAAAAAACACACAAAAAAACAAGGCCTAGACAGGAACGTTCTGTCCGAGGGCTGTTTCCAGACTTGGCACTAATCTCAGACTCTGAAAACAGCTACAAAGGGGTGAAATCAGGAATCTCAGCCACACCGGGGGTCTCCTGTGCTGGGCACTGGCAGTTGATGGAGGGAGATGTGGGGTGACAATGGGGAGCACAAGAGTTCAGAGAAGAGCTCTTTCCTCCAAGCTTTGGGAAAAGCAGGATGTATTCAAAGAAAACTGCCTGAAGCCGATCTTGTATTTCAAGGCCTCTCTGTCATTGGCTCTCAAACAGCAAACTTTTCTGTTTCCATATGGAATTGTAAATAACAAGAGGCCTTCCTAGAGTTTTGGACAAAATACTACCTAGCTCTTAGCTAACCAATGCTGTACAGACTTCCAGCCCGTCTTGAGCCATGCAACTATCAAAGGATATGATATAGAAGATTGCTCTTCTAGGGAAAGGGAAGGCTTGTGTACACCTGACTTGCATCACAAACCTCAGCTGCAGCCAAACCATGCAGTTTTCTCAGACTCTACAATCCCGGCGACTTGGCAGTATGACTCAGATGTGAATGAAGTCAGGAGGATTGCTTATTTCAATTGGGAGTCACTGCCTCCTGATAGACTTGGCAGACTTTGAGTATTTTGATATTTAAAAGTCTCACAGGATTTCAAGGTACTTGTAAAGCCAGAGGTTAAAATGGCCATAAATCTGGTGGTGGCCCTTACGTGTGGCTGAAGGATCTCTGAATTGTAAGGCCAAGGGCACTCAGGTCCCATCTATAGAATAAACGTTCTGGCATTAAATTATCCAGCAGCATACTGGACAGTGAAGAAAGTCCACAAAGCATAGGGTTCAGGGAAGTACATCTTTAAATTTCTAAAAGTGCCTGGAGGAGTTAATGAAACACATTGTAGGGGATCTCCTTTTACACACTGATTGAAGTGAATTAACATCCAACACTATAAAGATTTGTAAAACCAAATAGATATCCAACTGCTTGAAATACATAAGCTTATTAACTGTATGAAGATAGGGAAGTGAACAAAATACCCTTAGTCAAAATTTTGCATATGGCAGTGTAAAAAGGTGTTTCTCTAACTCACCTGCCCATGGTTCCCCATTGATAAAATGGATCTACTACTATTCACGTCTCAGTGTCTCAAGGTGGAACAAATAGTTACCACAGTAATCTGCAATCTCAAGGATTGGAGGTTTGAAGTCTGAATCTACTCAGAGAAACTTCTGAAGAAAGGCTTGGTGATCTGCTTCGGAAAAATCAGCCATTAAAATCCTATGGCGTACACTTCTACTCTGACACACAAGAGGTTGTCAAGAATCAGGGTCCACAGGGCAACTGGTTTGGAATCCACTTCTCATTGAACTTATGGTTGGATGTATCTTTCAATGTTGCTTTAAAGGCAGTATGCAAACTGAAGAGCTTTACAAAAGTGTTTTGTTGTTGTTTTTTCTCCATCCTCCTCCTAAAGGGCTAGTATTGTCAAGTTTGTACTTTCACTTACTACTGTATCTCAGTTAACCTCACAACTCTACAAGGGAAGTCTCATTTTACCTTAATTTACAAATCAGCCCCCAAGTGGCCTCATAACCCATAAGAATGAGTCAAACTCTGGAGAATTTTGAGCCTTAATTTTTTGTGCCATTTAGGTGCCATCGAGTAGGTTCTGACTCATAGTCACCGTGACAGCCCCCCTCCCCCCAACAACAATCCTGTGCCGCCTGCACAATCCTTACTGTGTTTGAACCATTGTTGCATCCACAGTGTCACTTTCACTGAGGATCTTACTCTTTCCCCCTTGAACCTATATATACCAAACATGCATTTTTGTGTCCTCAATTCTGCAAATCATACAAGTTGTCTTGTACTAAGTTGTTTATCCAGAGGCAGTATAGAAACTGGATTTTGTTTCTTAGCAGTAAGAGGGCTCCCAAGTTGATCTGCAGACATCAAAGCAGTTTCCCCACTTTAAAGAGCAGATGCGGACTCCCTGCTTCCCTCTCTCCCCCTCATATCCCAGGAATTAAAACACCTGGCTCTGTATTGTACCACTGTAGCTCTGGGACTATCTGTAAAATGGGAATGATATTCCCAGCCCCAACTGTACTTTTGCTAAAACAATCATGTGAACAATGAATGTGAAAACGTCTAGCATGTTAACAGATGTTTCCTTCTTTCCTTCTCCCGCTAAGGGGGTGCTAGAGTTAATGAAACTCTTGCTGGGAAGCTCATCACTAATTCCAGTCGGAGCCTGACCCTCTGAAACCTGAAACTCCGAGAATGGATAGGTAATGCTAGCAAACCTCGGGTCCCTTGCCGGTCGACCCTCTTTGAAAAATCAATCCGCAATCGACGGCTCTCGCAGCCTCCCTCCTCCACTCCCAGGGGCACAGCCACCACCCCTACCCCCAGGCTTTCTGCTTGAGGCTTTCAAAACACAGCAAGACCTCGGGGAAGTGGCCGGCCACTGCTGGCGTCCGCACGGACCTCGATGCTCTCGGGGCCGCGAGGCAGTGTTTGCGTCTTTGAAGGCGGCCCGCTGGGGGGCGCGGCGGGCTGTGGGCGTGGCGAGCGCGCGCCGGCCGCTTCCTGCTGTGGCGCCCCCTCCGCGGCCGGGCCCGGAGTGCGCTGGGCACGGGCGCGCGTGAGAGCGGGAGCGCGCGAGGTATTCGGGTTCGCGCCGCGCCGCCTCGTCCTAGCTCCGTGGCCGCGGGCTGCCCCGGCCCCTCCCCTCCCCGGCGAGCTGCGCACCGCCAGCCCGCTGACCCTGCGGCCCGCACTCGCGCCCTTGTCCGCCCGACCCGGCCCCGGGCTCCAGTCGGCCGGCAGCATGAGCGGCGGAGGCGACGTGGTGTGCACCGGCTGGCTGAGGAAATCGCCCCCCGAGAAGAAGTTAAGACGCTATGTGAGTGAGGGCGGCGGGCGGGTGCGGCCGCTGAGGGCGCGGGCTGGGGGCGCCCGGCGGCCTGTGAAGGAGCTGGGGGCTCTCGGAGGGGCTGCGCGGACGATGGGCGGGCCCCGGGCCTTTCAGGGACTGAGAAGCGGCCGGCGCGCCCCGCGCCCGCGGGGGTGTGTGGGGCACCTGCACACCTGTCACAGGTGCGCCTCCGAGGGGCGGGGCGGGCGGGGCGGGCGGGGCAGCAGGTTGAGGCTGACCGCTCCTTCTTCGCAGGGTGGGCGCGTCGGCGGCACCTCCCCAGCCAGCCTCCTGTGAACTGCCGAGAGTATTGAAGTTTGTATTGATTGTTTGTGAGGCGCTCTGGTGGCGCGGTGATTAAGCATCTCATTGGAAGGCACTAAAGGGAGGCGGTTCGAACTCACCATCCACTCGGTGAAAAATGCGGCAGTCGGCTTCCGTAAAATTACAGTCACGAAACCCTACGAGGCAGTTCTACTCTGTCCTATAGGGTCGTTGTGGTCGGAATTCGACTCGATGGCACTGGGTATTGATTGGTTTTGGAGACTCAGAGCCTTGATTCTGTGGAAGTGTAGTAACCCTGAACGGCTTCTTCATGTGGGTTGGGGAGTGGGCGTAGGCTGGGTCCCGCGTGGTCAGCCCCCACAAAAGGCTGGGTGCCTCACACCCTGTCTCCTTTCCCTTTCCCTGCCCACCCTTCTTGGGTAGCCGCTTACTTGTTTCTAGTCCACAGCCTCGGTAGGCATCAGGGTAGCGTCAGCTACATGTGCAACCCCTGTATTAAGTGTCTCGTTTGTGACCTCCCCCTTGTTTCTCTTTATTCTGTCGTTCTCACATACATTCCCCCCCCCCCCCCCCCCCCCCCCCCCAGTGACACTGCAGTTTGTTCTCTTCTAACAGGCCCAAGTTTTGTGTTTGCAGCCCTTGGTATCTGAGGTCAGGAGAGATCAAGGATCTCAGTTGCCAGGTGGAGCTAACCGACATTGTTTACTGAAATTGCTGGGACAGCCACTCTCCTTTAAGTGTGAAACTGGCAACATCAAGGAGAAGGTGGTACAGTCAGGTGCTGAGCAGCGCGGAGTTCTTGGGTTTTTTTGTTTTGTTTTTTTGTTTTGTTTTGTTTTGTTTTCCTCACTAGAAGATAGATGTGCCTGTTGAGATCAAAGTACTGGACGATGCCAGTTACAAAGATTTGTCTGAAACGGGCTCTGGGGTAATCTCAGCAGTGAGGAAGGAAGGTCACTAAAGGTCTCCCCTTTTCTCCCTCTTCACTTCTTATGAAATGCCCTTGTTAGACTGTGATGATTTCTGGTGCTTGACTCCCTGGGATCGCTCCCACAGGCTGAAAGAGAGCAGTTGCCTTCCAGCTGCAGTGCATCAAGGGAGCTCTGAATAGACCCTGCCCTCTGTCAGCTGCACCAGTGGCTGTCCATGGGGGGAGAGGCAGAAGCTTGCCAGAGTTTCCTGTCTTGGCTCCCCAGATCAGAACCAAGGGACTTTTGGCCTCTGGACTGAGGAAGTGACATTCTGTTTTTCAAAGGAAGTGTTGTTGGGGAGTGCAAGAGTGTGTGTGTGTGTGTGTGTGTGAGAGAGAGAGAGAGAGAGACAGAGACAGAGAGAGACAGAGAGAAAAAAAAATGAAATCAGGCTCTTAGATCATTTGCGGGGGAAAATCTAAAGACTCACATGGCTTTTGAAAGTGGACATAGACTTAAAATACAGTAGGAATTCAGAACAGAAGTGTTCATCTCAGATTTAAAACTCATCTTCAGGGGGGGTGTCTGGGTAGCATCAGTAATGCCCATGTAACATTACTAAGAAAGAAACTTTTCCCCCCACATCAGAATTTGATTAATTCACCAATAAAGTGGAGTTTTATGTTAGGGTTGATGATGAGAAATTTGTAATTAACACTCCTATAAATATATATTTTTTAATCTGTGGCTCCATTGGTGGTGGTGGTGATGTGTCGTGGAGTCGCTTTTGACTCATAGCGACCCTGTACAGGGTTTCCGAGGCTGTAAATCTTTACAGGAGCAGAAAACCTCATTTTCTCCCATGGAACAGCTGGTAGTTTCGAACTGCTGACCTTAAGGTTTGCAGCCCAATTTGTAACTACTATGTTACCAGGACTCCTTTAGAGCTCTCAAAGTTATCCAGAAAAGTGGTTTTGTACCAACTAATAGAATAGTGTGTCCAATAAAAAGGCAACCCTTAATTGTCAGTTAGAATGCTATCCTAAAGAACCTTGAAAATTTATTTTTGAAACATTTTGCAAACAATATAACACTATATCTGCCTTTGACTGGTGACTACTTGAACTCTATATCTATTACCCAGACTCCCTATGACCCATTTCTTGGGTATTTTTGTTGAGCAAAATTTAGTTTGAAATAGCCAAATTTGGAGGTTTTGGCCTTGACCTTTTTCACACATTTTAATAAATTACACCCAAAAGTCATGTAATGATCTTCGTCTATTTCTCATCTTCCTTGCAGCCACCCGTTAGACCACTGACCAAACCAGCAATAGGTTTTCTTAGGCTAGGATGTGATGCTTTCCTTTGGTGTGACTGGGAGGCTTTCACCTCTGTGGAAGTTCATTCTGTGTAACCGTAAATGTTGCCTTTACATCTCCTTTTCTTTGGTGTTGAGAATTTCTGCATCCTGTTATAAAGTTAGGAAAGGAGCCCTGGTGGCACACTTTAAAACACTATTCTGCTAACCAAAAGGTCAGCTGTTGGAGTCCACTCCCACTAGCCACTCCATGTGAGAAAGATTAAGCAGTCTGCTTCTATAAAAATTTACAGCCTTGGAAACCCTGTGACACAGAACTAATCTGCTCTATAGGGTCTCTGGGATCAAACTCAGTTTGACAGCAGTTTGGGTTTGGGGGAGGTTTTAAGTTGTAACTCTATCCATTCCCGCTTGTGGATGATAGGTCCAAGTTCATTAGAACAAACTTGAAAAGAATTATTTCTCAGCCTCATTGCTAAACTAAAAATAAAAATAATAACAACAGCAGAATCGTAAACCCATTACTTTAGAGTCAATTCCAACTCATGGTAACCTCATGTGTTATTTTTTGTTGGTGTCGTTAAGTGCCATCGAGTCAGTTCCGACCCATAGCAACCCTGTGTAGGGTTTCCAAGGAGCACCTGGTGAGCTTGAACCTCCAACCTTGTGGTTCAAGCTGACATTACAGTCCAGCTCATTAAGCTACAGCGCCACACCAGGATTCCCCATGTGTTATAGAGTAGATTTATTATACAAGGTGATTTTGGCTACAGTCTTTATAGGAGCAGATAGCTAGGTCTTTCTTATATGTTTTTAGTGGGTGGGTTCGAACCACCACACGTATACTCCCCAAATAGCAGGTTCTTGGGATTTATATAATAGTGATGTGGCACTGTAGCTTGTAGACACTGCTTTATTAGAATGTGTCATGTATTTAAGGGGAAGTGTATCACACATCTAAGATAGCAGTCTAGGAAATGGATTATTGTTATTTAGTGCTACGGAGTCAATTCTGACTCATAGTGACCCTGTATCAGGTTTCCAAGGAGCGGCTGGTGGGTTTGAACTGTCGACCTTGTGATTAACAGTCTAGGGCTGATCCTACAGCCCTACACCAGGACTCAGGAAATGGATCGCCACTATTTAAAACTTTAAAAACCTTTTCTGGTTTAATTTGGAGTAAATACTAAGGGTAAGAGAAAAAAATAACTTGGAAAAAATGGTGGCATGTATTATTAGGGATTAGGGATGTCCTCCCCTCTCAGCATTTTCTGTCTTATTAACCATCTGAAAGTATAAAAGGTCTGTCCAGTATTTTCTGTGCCCTGGAGGAATTGCAACAACTGACCTCTGTAAAATGGTGAGCCTTGCCCCCTGCGACCTCCTGAGATTGTAGCAGTGGAAGGTTGATAGAAACATAACAACCCTCCTCCTATCCTTGGGTACTAATAGACCAGTCAGCACTCCCTCCTCCCTCCGGCACCCCTCCCAGTATGTAAGCATTTATGTATTTGTATTTGCATATAAAACCATTTGCCATCAAGTCATTCCCAATTCACAGCAACTCCACGTGTGTCAGAGTAGAACTGTGCTCCATAACATTTTCAATAACTGATTATTTGGAAATAGGTAGGCCTTTCTTCTGAGGTTTGTCAGAGTGAACTTGAACTTGTAACCTTTTAGTTAGCAGCAGCCCAGTGTGTTGACTGTACCACAATGAAGTCCATATCAATACATTCATGCATTCATGTGTTTTGAAATAGAATTTTCATGAAAAATTATTTCATGACATAGTATGCACTATCATTTTCTATTAATTTTACTGGGTTAAAGGATTTGGGGGGAAAGATTGATGCAAGCACTGCCCCCTAGTGGCAAATTGAAAGAAAGTTGTACAATGAGTCTAATGAACAACTGCATTAAGGAAATTATCATTGTTTATTTTTATACATTAAAGAAGTGCATTTATTAGATATTTGTGCCCCAGGCAACAGACTGTTGCTGTTATTGTTAAGTGCCATCTAGTTGGCTCTGAGCCATAGCGACCCTGTATAGGGTTTCTGAGGAGCAGCTGGTTAGCTTGAACCGCCAGACTTGTTGTTCAAACCAGTTTTGCATTCCAGTGCATTAATACCCACAGCGCCACACCAGGCACTGGGCTAGGTCCTGCGAATAAAAAATAAGCCAGCCCTTCAGCCTTAGAAGATGACCTTCCCTTCTCCTTCGAGAGCTATCTGCACACACTGCCAAGAAATTTCTTAAATGTACCTGTATCTCCATGTTTCCTTTCCTCCTTCTGCCTTCTTAAAAGTAATGAGGTGCCCTTAGTTAGTTCTACTACCTGTTCTTTGGCTCATGTCCTCTCCTATCTACTCTGGTAAGTCTCACCCTTTCTAACAGGCATCACCAACCAGCGTCTTCCCCTGTCAATTCCTTTCCAATTCCTAAGGGTTATCCTTTCATATCCCATAC